AAGATTTATTCAGAATTCCTTACGCCTATATTAAGGACTCCTCTGGGATGAAATAAGCAGGGTTTTTGCCAAGGCAAAATTCATTACACACCTAGCAAAACACTCTTGCCTCCACTATCACTCTGTATTTTGAGATCTCTCATAATGATACAAATGAAGAGTTTCTCTCCTATTCTCTTTCACTACTAGCCCACTTAGTGCTAATATTGTAAGTATCTTGATTTTATTTCATATTGTAATTTTTGTAATTTTGTGTGTAAATTCTACATCTTGTGATTCTCCCTGAACTCACATAATATATGGTTATGAAATTGGGGACATGAGTCTAGAAGAGGCTTAAGCCAAACTCTAGATTGAAATTTTGATGTGGGAGTTATGTAAGTAATTCTTTGGTATTTTGATGATGTTTAATGTGTGGGGGCAATGTTATGTGATAACATGATATGTTTGCTTTGAAGGTGTTTGATTAAATGTTTTGGATAATGGAATGTTTGTTACTTTGATTTAATTGAAATAACATGTTGAGGTTGTTGTGATATGTGGATTTATGCCTATTAGTATATGGAGCATGATGATGAATCATGAAAATTATGTGCATGTAACATAAAATTCCATGGAATATGATGATTTGTGATTAATATTGCTCATGTGACATTCACTGTATATTGAACATGATATGAACATCACATTCATAAGCACTAGGCATGAGTGTGGGGTGTGAGTGTATGTTGGATCAATCACCATACTTGGTGTTTTGATGGGTGGGCTCGGGAAAGTGGAATTGAATATCCTACTAAGTTGTACGGTTGCATTCACGAAAAATTTGTGTCGGGTATAGCAAGAAGGGATAAATCCCCTCTCAGGTGCAAGACCTGTCTATTGGTTTATACACTTTCAATGATGCAAGTCCAAAAAAGTGTATCGGTATGTGGAGCCAGCGGTACAACACCAAGAGTCCACTACCCAAATAAAAATACATGATTTTGATTATATAAATGATTCATTTGATGGGAAACATCTAAAAATGAATTGGTTTATGAGAACACATGAACTCTTTTTCTAACGGATCTTTGGATGTATATTATCAAAGATAAATGTTTTACATTTGCATAGCATAGTGTGGTGAGAGTCGGTGAAGGCTCGGGTTGTGGTGCATGAGTGAATCTCATTTTATTTATAGCATGACATGGTAGATTCCAACATGAATTGCATATTCTTGCATTGGAATGGTTATTGGTTGTATGTTGTTGGATGAGATCATTGCATATGCATCTAGGTGGGGAGTAGCCTCTATAGGAAAATTTTTACTGAGCGTGGCTCATCCTATACGGGAACACATTTCAAGTGCGGATTACACATTGGTGGAGAATTTGCGTTCAGGGTCTCGAGGTTGAAGAAAAGCCAAGATGTGACTTTACTTGGAGTTTTTGTAAAAACAGTATGAAAACTTAGTTTGTGACATGTAAAATTATGTAATGATTGTAATCGAACTTATATTAACTATATTTGAGGTCAAAATATATGTTATATAAGGCTTGGATGAATTTGATAAAGTTTGGGATGGATTGGAAGTCAAAAAACAAAGTTACAAATATTCTGAAACTTTGTTGGCGTTCGAACGCCAAACCACGTTCGAACGTTGGGTGATTATAGTACTCTTGCATCTCAGCAGAGAACCACAATGCTGGGAGGAAACTTCGTTCGAACGACATTGACGTTCGAACGCTAGTCCACGTTCGAACGTGGATAGCTTATAGTACTTTGATGTCTGCTGAACCCTGCTAGAAATGTAAAAGTACCGGGAGCAAGTGACGTTTGAACATAAATTTGACGTTCGAACGCCAAATGACGTTCGAACGTGAATCTGAAACTAAAATTTCAAAAGTTATGTGCTATGCTTTCAGGCTTGGGTTTCTTTGATTCCAAGGACACACATGAACATCAAATGCCAGTTGATTGAAATGGTAACATATACACGGGTCACACGTGTGAGTTCAAATCTCGGTTAATAGGATATCATTGGTGAAATGTCAGACCAAACGGTATTCACGGACATTTTCGCGGGTTGATGAGTTGTCAACGGGACCCCCGATTTTAGGGGTGTCACACAACGTGCACAAAAACTTCCCCTCAATTATGGGTATTGCTACAATCAATAACTGTAGGTTTTAATTTCAACAAATTGATCCTTCAAAGTTTTCAATTGACCAAATTAACGGATAAAATAGATTACTTTTGACGACTGAAAACTGAAAAAATGTGTTAATTAAAAAATATTAGAAATTAATGGGGACAAGTTGTTGAAATTGAAACCTCAAAAAGTTAATTATAACAATATCCAAAGTTGAAGGGGGTAACTTGTAATTAACCCTATTTAGTATCTTCTCCAAATCAATGCCCATAGCCCACACCAAATTCCCGTGCTCACTGTTTTTCTACTTTCTCGAAACCCAACCGTCCTCCAAATAAATGCCCATAACCCACCCTAAATTAACCTCTTTCTCTTTCTTCTTTTCCTCCCCCAGAAACCTTCGGCGTTTCCCCCTCTCCCCTAAATTAACATCATAATGGACGCCGACAACATTAAACTTTGACAGAAGAAATCCAGCAGAAACACCACATGTGTTGGCATCATGGAAGCAACAATGTGCTGCTCAAACAGGTATCAATCATCATACACTGAATTCCTTCTCTATATCTGTATTGTTTGTATTCATTGTTTATGCCTTTTCACTTATTCAGCATATTGTGATTTTTGGGATACATAGGATGCACAACTCTATAAAATAATAAACTACACTTAATAATTTATTTACGTTTTTTCTGAGTTTCTTGCATGTAGTGGTTTATTTGTGATTAAGTAATAAAAAAAATTATACTGATTATTTAGTTGATATTTATAGATTGTTGATTGTCTTTCAAAATACAAACATTAGCAAAAGTGGACTTGAAGATCATTCTTGGTAAAAGTTTGTTGAACCAATCCAAATGATGTCTTACTCTTCATTCTGCTGGATGGAATACATCCAGGATGTATGCCATGAAACTTTTTGAGCTTGAGGAAAAGATATATATAATTTTAGCATGGTTTTCTTTAATGAAAATGTTTAGCTGGATGCTTATTTAAGGGAAATTTCTATATGAAGCCTGATTTATGAAGCAAGTTGAACAAACAACGCATGTCTTTCACCCCATTTTGTTTCTCAATAATATTCATAACAAGCCACTTATGAATATTGTTAATCATGGGTATTCAAGTGTTCCTTCATTCCCTTTGTACCTCATGGTGAACACCTCAATCATGGGTATACAATTCTTCCTCAATTCTCGTTTAGTTGTAAACTTTAAAATTTTGCTTTGCTTTAACTTCCGTTCCCCCAAACCAGTCACGATGTTTAAGAATGATTGAGTGAGTATGGTCTACTTTGCATAGTGTTGGGGTCCTAATACTTGAGCTATTAATTGACAGGAGCAGATCGAAGGTAAATTAGGAGGGACACAAAAGTTTCTATAGGAATTGGCAATTTAGATGTTTCAAGTTTTCATAATAATTTTGGGAGGTTTAGATCTTCATTGCCCTTTTGTTTGTCAATCTGTTAGTAGTCTTTATAAATTGCTTTCCCTGATGTATGTGTCAACCATTTTATGTACTTAATGTGTTGCTTCCTTAATATTGTATCTTCTAAACCATCTTAATGAGACGGTATAACATTTCTCTTTCAATTCAACTCAAGTGACCTTATGTCCCTATGATGACATCATGCAGTGTTTTCCATAGTTCACTCGTCATCTTTAACTAGCAATTTTCTTGCAACATAGCATGAATTGGTTTTACGCAAAATAAAACATATAATAAAATGGGCAAACTTCACTTTACCCCTTGTAATATATCCCAAATACATTTTACCTCCAAGCAATTAGAAATCTCCACATAACTCTCCTATGGTTAGTGAACTAAAATGCAATGTACACAGTGTTAATAGCGGATGTCAAATACCCATAATGTCTCCGTATATATATATATATGTGTGTGTGTGTGTGTGTGTGTGTGTGTGTGTCCCTAATGGTGTGTAGCCATTTTGTCCATAGATCTTCTTTTCTACATTGAGATTGAGAGGAATGAATGTTAGTAGTATGTTCTATGACCAATCATAGATGATATTTTGGGATTGTACTAACAACATTTATCACTTAATTAAATAAAAGGGCAAGTTTATTTATTATATTTCTAATTTATTTCATTTTAATATTAATGATATAGTCTATAGAGTATAGGTTAAGAAAATTGTTTCTCAATGAGTTGAGAAGAGGAGACCTATACCTCTTATTACTTAAATCTTAAATGTTCCTAGTAATAGGATTCCTATGTAGGCACAATGTAATCTGGATAGACTAGCATACACTATGTTTGCTCATATTTAAGATGAAGTAACTCGTCCAAGTTACTAATGTAGGAACACTAAAGCAGGTGTGCAAGTATTTGTTAGAGAACAAATACACTGAATATGATCATTGACTAACGTACGATTTTTCATATGGAGTTTGACATACCTATCAATGTTAAATTCTAAAGTTATAGTTAGGTAACTGATCCTTATAGTTGAAACACTATGTGTGTATTGTGTATGAACTTCTATACTTTTAACTATACGACATATTTATATACTAACCATGTAACTTGGATATGTATTATTGGATATGCATGGACACTTATGAGTGTACAATACAAAATCTATCATCCTTAGTAAATAAAGAGAGAATGTGCCCTGCGATCTGCTAGGCTATGACTCAAGGAGTCCTTGGCCAAATCAAAATGACAATTAGAAAAGGACTGCCAATATGCCATATACAACACATAGTCTACTGCATAGACAAAAAAAGACTAACAAAATAACAGCCTTCCACAAAAAACAGTATCTATAATCATAGTATGCTTCTATCTTCACAGTATCTATCTTCATTGTCAAACTATGACACCTAGTTTAAAGAACCTGTTGCTCCTATTCCCTCACCCTGTACATGTCCTGAGCTTTCTTGTAATCATTGAATTGCACCTTTTCCTCCACCTCTTTTTCTTGATGTCTAAAACAAAACAAAAAAAAAAAGGCTTCAACATTGCAAACTTAATTTTTTATGGGAATTTTCCTTTAAAAAAATCCAATTTCTATACTTGTACTTTGGAGTTTTTCTCCGAACCCAGCCTCCCCACAATCTTAATTTCCTAAACTAGTATGTTTTAAACTTATTTCTCAAATCTAGTCTTTTTTTAAAAACGTCATTTGGAATGACGTCTTCATGAGTTAAAACGTCATTTTAAATGACATTTTTAAACTGAATTTTTTTTTTGAAAAAACATCATTCAAAATGACGTTTTTAAAGGCGTCATTTTTAATGACGTTTTAACTTATAAATTTTCAAACGGCAGACGTTATAAAAAATAAGGTAAAAAACGTAAATGACGTTTTAAGCACCTTATAGTCGGACCCCAAATTTCCAAATTCACAAAATTCCTATTCTGTCTAAACTATACCCATCGCGCATAATACCCATCCTCTCCACTCCACACCTCCGACGAAGACCACTCCCGTGCAGGAGTCTATCTCTGACGAAGGCACTCCGTTGACGAAGAATCACTCCTCCGAAGAACGATCTTAGGTGGGAGAAGGAGTTCATAAAGCTGTGAAGTTTCTCTCTGTAACAAGCGGTCTGTCCTCTGATGACTGCTCCTTTAGTTACTCCGGCGACCCACCGAAGGTATCGTGGTCTCTGTCTCTCTTTCTTCAGAAATTTATGGGCTGGAGGTTCATACTTCTTGATGTGTGCTGGAGGTTCAAATGTGTGTTGTTTGTTTGTTCATTTTATTCAACCTTGGGTACTTGAAGAATGTTCAATAGATTAATGTGAATATACTTCATTGTTTAGATGTACCGTTCGTGTATGTTTTGATATGCATTTTGTGAATTGAAATTTGGAAATTATTCCCTTTTGTTGGGGCATTATTTGTGATTTTCTCAATTTTAAGATGGGTATCGGTTTTGTTCTAATTTGTAATTTTTGTGTTGCTTTTCTAAACTTGAATGTTTAGCGGGATCAATATGAACCTCTCACAATAGACTCATGTTGCAGACCTTTGATAGGTTTCCGGGAAGGAGGTACTTTGTTAGGAGGGTATTGAGCCATGTAGTTTGGTACTCCCCTGTGATGTGTAGAAAAATGTCTTATGTATTTGTAATCTATTAGTTAAAACTTGGGAGTCAAAAAGAATGACTTCAATGTCTTTTGAGGAGAGTTTTATTGGGGCATTTTGGTGTAGATACATCTTTCACCAAGCCTTAATGGGGCTCAATGGAAATAGAGTTTTTTTGTGGTACATTTTATTGATTTCCCACCATGCAGCTTATGCCAAATTTTCATCTATTTATGTTTCTCGGGTAATTGAGCTTTCCTTTTGTTTTTGATATTGATATATATATTTTGGATCTTGGTTAATAGTGCTTAATTGCTTATTGGCTTGTTGATTTTTAGTCCAAGGACATTTAACTTATTGATGTGTCAAAATAGCACAGTCAGTCAATCGTGTGGTCTCTCTCTCTCTCTCTTTCCCTCATATTAGAGAGTTTCAAACTTTAGGGGAATCTCTTAGTGGGCTTAATCATGTCACAGACATAGGTTAAGAATTATTGGTGCAGACATAATCGAATCTAATCCTACTTGAATGTCATGCTTGCATGCAGGGAACTGTTGCTTTTGGTGGTCAAAGTCATCGCATTAACCAATTTTTGGTTGCGTCTTTCAGAAGAAAATCTTTTTACTCATTTATTAAGGACAATTCTCTTGGAGTGCAAAAGTGGTTGCTTATGGCTTCTGGAAAATAGAGTTAGCAGAATGTAAAAACACAGATTCATGGAATTTAGGTGATCAGCATAACATACATATGTGTAGAAGTTGCCTTAAAGAAGTGATTTTTTACCAACAAATAATTGTACTTCCCCTTTGCATCAGGCAGTTATACTTAATATTCTGATAGAAAAACTAGTAAAAGCAGAGTTAAAGCTTCTGATAGACCAAGCAATATTGTCTTTTATATTTAATTGAGTGGAACACAAACCTTCTAAAAGGGGAAGGGGGAGGGGGTGTGGGGATATATTCCACCCTCACATGTTAATTCTCCATCTGCACAAATAGATCAACAAATACGAAAGTAGGAAGAAAAGAAGCAGGGAAAAAAAGAATGTTGAAGTGACCTCTTGAGTATGTTTCATTTTGGAATACCGTGAGTACCTTAATTTCTGCCTGATTTCGTGTATCACTTTTAATGCAGAGTTTGGACAGCAGGGCAATCAGAGTTAATGTTGCACAGGAACGACCAAGGCATAGCTCCTTTTGAGTGAAGATGATTGATTCTATTTGGTGGATAGATGTAATCTACAAGGGGTGATTGTTATTTGTCTTTCTTGCTTTGTTTATGCTAGTGACAAGAACAATTTTGTGGGAGTCCAAGAGTCTCTGTAATTGTCTTCTTCCTTCCCTTTTTTTTTTTTTTTTGGGGGGGGGGGTGTTAGGAAATACCTTTTTCTTTTCTTATTAATTCATTTCTCCTCTCACATTATATGTTATCTGTGGATATAGTGTTAACATATAAAATCTTCCATCGCTCTCCAGAAACACTTGCAAATCATCATTGACCTAAAAAATAATATATCAGAGCTCCTACATCATCAAGTTGTTCATGAACATCTATACTCTTTACTATTCACATGCACGTACAACACAGAAAATTATAATAACATTTTTTTATCATAATTGTAAAAGATAGAGACAAACCAAAATTATTTTGGTTATGACATTATGTGGTATACCAATTGAGTGAATCTGAGTTTAACAAGCTCCCTTGGTTATTCTATTTTCTTGCATGGATTTCATACCCAACCATTTTTGATTTACTTTTCATACTTCATTAATAAATGTGTTTTGATTATTATAAAAAAAAAAAGTACACCAAGCTCCATGCGTGCACTTGTGTTTGTCTGTGTGTGCAAGAGAGAGAGAAAAAAAAACAGAAAAAGGGGGGGCGGGGGTGTGGACACTGCAGATAGCACTTTATCTCTCCTCCGCCACCAATACTAACTGGGACTCCATAGAACAAGCAATTTAATCCTCATGCAAAGTCAAAAAGCTGGTCCATGGTTGAATTTCACTTTTTTTTTTCTTTTTTCCAAAGCACACTACAGATAGCCCTGCTGTATGCACTTTTCCATACTGTCGGCAGAAAACGTCATTTATAATGATGTTTTCTACCCCTCATTTTTTTACAACATCTATTAGTTGCTGTTTAAAAATTTATGAGTTAAAACGTCATTAAAAATGACGCATTTAAAAACGTCATTTAAAATGACGTTTTAACTCATTAAGACGTCATTCCAAATGACGTTTTAAAAAAAAAACTATGTTTAAAAAATAAGTTTAAAACAAACTGATTTAAGGAATTAAGATAGTGGAGAGACTGGGTTTGGGAAAAAGCTCTTGTACTTTGACATTGCTTGTGCCTTGCTATGATTTTGTGCCCCCATCCTCATTCCCAGTATTTCCTCTGCCTTGTGATTCCCTTACCGGTGCCGTCTGACATGTTCTCTTGTTGTGTCCATATTCCTTACGTATCACACATCTCACTGTTAAGCTCCTCCTAACTACAATTGTTCTAGTTGCTGCCTCATCAGGCTCCCTTCTCCTAATTTTCTTTGGTCTACCTGGAAATCTTCTCAAAAGAGAAGGATCCAATAGATCACCAAGAGATGAGGGCTATTTTCTTATATCACAAATTGGCTATTTTCTTAGATCACCATGCGATCACACGTATTTTCATTTAATTTGACAATGCACCTAAATTCCCCATCCATTATCTCATATAGCTTAGCCCCCCAACTTGCAATACAAAACAAACCCTTGACTCCACCATTGCTTTGTTCAACTGCTTTATAATTTTCTTTGTCACCAATCTCTCTCAAGATTGTCCTTTTTTCTTGTCAGTGTTAAATTCATGTCATGAACTTTTTTCTAAGTTATCATCGTTGTAATCACATGAACGAAAAAAGACAAAGTAACTCAAAAATAACAAATGTGTAATTAAAAATAATAAAAAATAGCAAAATAGCCTAGAGCTACATACATCAATTAATAGACCCAAACACAGATAATGTTCCAATTTGCAGATTAGAGGTAATAGAATAATTTATGGGATTCTTGGTGGAAAGGAGGTCCCATGGTGAAGACTTTCACGTAGGAAGCCTTGGAGATAGATTTAAGGATATGAACAGTATTGGAAGAACAGAAAGTATGGTGGGCCATAAAAGTAAGTGGAATTTTTGGAAGCAATTCTTACGTTACCATTTGCAGAAGAAGACTTGAAGTCTTTGCTAGTGGTAGGGCCCACCAATAGTGGTGGTTGGAATGATTATGAAGACTTTTTGATGTATGAGATTCTTGGGTTGGAATTACCGCGTGCAAAGGGAAAGTATTTTTAAGTGGAAAATTAGACCCACCATTTGAAGAAAAAATAACATTATTATGTTAATGATGGAAAGGAATAACAAATTTGAAGAAAACAAAAAGTTTCACGAAGAACACAACAAAATTCAATTTGTAAAAGCCCTAGTTTCATGTTAATGTTTTTCACAATTTTTTTTTTTTGTTAAAAACAATAAATTTCACACATGCCTTAGTTTTATGTGCTTTAATCCAAAAACCCTAATCAGTATGAAACTATGACAAACCTCAACTCTCGTGTGTGACAAACAATAAAGGAGGGTTTTTCGTCTTCTCTTAAATTTCTTCTTTCATAGCATTCTTGTATTTTTTGTGGTTTAGGGCTCAGTTGAAAGAGAAGAACGAAAGAGAAATAACATCACGTGGTTTCATTCTCTATCCAAGAGAAGCTTAGTTGGAGAAGAGAAATGGGAGAATAACTTACAACTATTCAGATATTCATGATCCCAATTTATATGGGTGAGGTTAAAAGATGATTTTCTTAAACCATGGTTTGGTTAAAAATAGTTTGTTAATATTATATTAAGGGGTAATTATATAAATGTGTCATTTTTGTTAACGATGTTATTCGATAAATTTTAATAGAGAGTGTCACTGATATTTTAGAAAATCGAGGGAGTGTCTCTGTAATTAGACCAATATACAAAGGAGTGTCAGTGTAATTTATCCAATATATTAATATAGGAGGTGAATACACGAGAAAACAACTCTCTCCTATTAACACAAGAAGAATCATTTATTATTCTCTATCACTACTAGCTTATCAATAGTTGAGGTAGATCCTTCAAATTTATCAATTCGTGTGTATATCGATAGAGGTCAAACGATTGTGAGGTTTAGAGTAAATATTATCCAAAATATATAATATCAAATATGTTTTTTATTTTTTATTTTTATAATTTTTTAAATATAAATAATTATTAAAAATATTTATATTTTTAATTTTTATCACAAAAAATAAAAAATAAAAACTAGTTATGTTTTATTTTTATATAAAAGAAATTAAAAATATTGCCAAACGTACCTTTAATTTTCCTTATTTGCTAGAAAATGGAAAAAACACCCGTGAACGCTGCTGAAGCCACTAGCGGTAATTTCTCATGGCCATGGGTTGATAGTGACTCCTCTGT